CGTTTATCTCTAAAACAGTGTGCTAGGACTTATATGCATATAACTTGCCACACTAACTCGCTGAAGTATAATTAACACTTTTAGATAAGAAATTCTGTCACCAGAGCGCCCTGGTGGCCCAAAATTCCAAGGACGCCAAGTGAGTGAGTGAGTATGGTTTTACGCCGCTGTTAGCAATATTCCAGTAATATCACGGCGGGGGACACCAGAAATGGGCTTCACACATTGTACCCATGTCAGGAATCGAACCCGGGTCTTCGGCGTGACGAGCGAACGCTTTAACCACTAGGCTACCCGACCGCCCCGATGGACGCCAAGAGTTTGATGGCTAGACATAGAATGTCAAGACACTGTTGGTCTCTGATGACATATTTGAGTGATTTGAACTTCTACATTGGGGTAAACAGACCCAAGGATGTCTGTACAATACTCAATCATTTAAATAAATCCAATATGACCACCAAATATCAATATTTATCTCTTAAATGAAATGTTTTGGCGAGTTTAGATATCAATGTTGATTGTTATTGTCTGAATCTACTTATTAACATGACAATAAAGGCCATAACAAGTTTCGTTTTCATTCCTGTAAATACTTGTTGGAAACCAGGATGACCTATATGAGGTCCTCTCAGAATTTACCCCAAACCAGTTGTTTCACTAGAATCGATGAGTTATCTCCCTTGTAGTTCATTGGATTATGCAAATTAGATATATTTCCCAAACTGGGATTGCTTGGGACTTTTAGTATGTTGTTTTCTGGACCTTGTAGAAATGCATTGGGGTAAAATAAATTCTGTTGCAATTTGTTCAGAGTGAAACCTGATTTTGCCTGGACTACATCCCAAGTAAGTCTAGATATCTGTACAGATAGTTTAAACCGACTTCATTTCATCACGCTTATCCTTTTATGTTAAATCAAATTGAAAGTTGCGAAAGTGGTCGGGTGCGTCATGCTCATGGGGACCCTCGATCCATTGATTGTAAATGGATATGGCTCGATTATATAATGTCTGTTTAAGCTCTATGCATAACTAATATAGAATGCAAACAGAATTTGATGTGTGTGACTATCTTGTTTGGTTTAATAAAGTGTTTGTAAATAGATCTATCTCTCGCTCTCATGAGATTGCTTCAGTTCTGCCTTGTAGTTGCAAAATGAATGACGTCTCGCAATTTTTTATGAATGAAAAAAGTAGTCCCGTTGTGACAGGTCACAGTTATCCAATCAAAAAGAATAAAACAAGGTCGACCTTGTATGACACACGTGTGATGTACGGATTTAGTATCTTAACACCTGTATCTTCACCACGTGGGTAATAAAACCAAATACATTCATCCTCATGGACCAAGTCAGTGAGGGAATAATTACCAGAGCTATGACACTTCTGAGAATTATCAACTTGTTGTGTCTCTACATTCTGGTAGGAAACCTGGAGAGACTACATTTGATCACATCCATCCTGGACCAGGGCCAGCTCATTCTACAGGGCTTCCATGACAACCCCCTCTGGGACCCACCCTGGCCCTGAAAATAATCCCATGCAGAAGTTAAGTTATTTGCCATAAAAGAATCACATTTGATCACCCCACCATCGCCCAGGTCATGTTGATCTATGATTTCATTAGGGAAAATGGATTGGCTAATAAGCTGTGTGGCCATAAATACTTTCTTTCTAGATTCTTAATAACTTCTATCAATCCTTGGTTAATCACATACTTATGATCACGGTTTACCATTTGTTCTTCAGTCATACAACTTGGTGTCGACACAATAGCTCAAGAATAATTGAAGAGCCAACAGGGTCTTTGTATATCTTCATTCATTGATTAAGTATACTCCCTTTGGTAAGTCTCTCCATTTCGTTCCTTGGGCACATTTTCAATTTCCATTTCAACAAGTTCGGTTTGAGAGGGCATCATATTCCACTAAAATGTTTCTCTAATATGAAATTTAGACAGGTTTAAAGAATCATACTGTAAAGAGACGGGATGAATATGAATAATGGATCAAATTTACAACAGTCCTCCAGGATATAAAAAAGGAGTAGCAGTTATTAAAAAAATTGCTGCAGCTACCAAAAGAAGTGGCCAGAATTGGCTCAAGAAGCAAGCCATTTGGCAAATAAATTTACCAGCACCACTAATATATTATAGGTTTGATCAATGTGTTTTTGTAACTCACATAATCATTCCTCTCTTTCTTCACTTCCTATAACATAACATGCAATATATTCACCACATCAAACTTAATAAGCCGATCTTAGACTAACAATTACCCCATGCAACATAATTGCCAAATAAGAAACTCTGGCAGGAGGTCTGGTTGTCTGCCACATACCCGAAAAACACACCTGATTTCAGACAGGTGTGCTCTGGTTGTCTGTCACATACCTCAACAACACAAGGGACTTCAGGCAGGGAGCTCTGGTAGTGCATCACATACCTCAACAACACACAGGACTTCAGGCAGGGAGCTCCGGTAGTGTATCACATACCTCAACAACACACAGGACTTCAGACAGGGAGCTCTGGTAGTGCATCACATACCTCAACAACACAAAGGACTTCAGGCAGGGAGCTCTGGTAGTGCATCACATACCTCAACAACACAAAGGACTTCAGGCAGGGAGCTCTGGTAGTGCATCACGTACCAGAACAACACACACATGACTTCAGTCAGGGAGCTCTGGTCATGCATCATGTACCAGAACAACACATAGGACTTCAGGCAGGGAGCTCTGGTAGTGCATCACGTACCTGAACAACACACAGGACTTCAGGCAGGGAGCTCTGGTCGTGCATCACATACCTCAACAACACACAGGACTTCAGGCACGGAGCTCTGGTCGTGCATCACATACCTCAACAACACACAGGACTTCAGGCAGGGAGCTCTGGTCATGCATCACATACCTCAACAACACACATGACTTCAGGCACCGAGCTCTGGTCGTGCATCACATACCTTAACAACACACAGGACTTCACGCAGGGAGCTCTAGTAGTGTATCACGTACCTGAACAACACAAAGGACTTCAGGCAGGGAGCTCTGGTCATGCATCACGTACCTCAACAACACACAGGACTTCAGACAGGGAGCTCTGGTCATGCATCAAGTACCTCAACAACACACAGGACTTCAGGCAGGGAGCTCTGGTCATGCATCACGTACCTCAACAACACACAGGACTTCAGGCAGGGAGCTCTGGTAGTGCATCACGTACCTCAACAACACACATGACTTCAGGCAGGGAGCTCTGGTAGTGCATCACCTACCTCAACAACACATGGGACTTCAGGCAGGGAGCTCTGGTAGTGCATCACATACCTAAACAACACACAGGACTTCAGGCAGGGAGCTCTGGTCATGCATCATGTACCAGAACAACACACAGGACTTCAGGCAGGGAACTCCGGTAGTGCATCACGTACCAGAACAACACACACATGACTTCAGGCAGGGAGCTCTGGTCATGCATCACGTACCTCAACAACACACAGGACTTCAGGCAGGGAGCTCTGGTAGTGCATCACGTACCTCAACAACACACATGACTTCAGGCAGGGAGCTCTGGTAGTGCATCACCTACCTCAACAACACATGGGACTTCAGGCAGGGAGCTCTGGTAGTGCATCACATACCTAAACAACACACAGGACTTCAGGCAGGGAGCTCTGGTCATGCATCACATACCTAAACAACACACAGGACTTCAGGCAGGGAGCTCTGGTCATGCATCACGTACCAGAACAACACACAGGACTTCAGACAGGGAGCTCTGGTCATGCATCACGTACCTCAAAAACACACAGGACTTCAGGCAGGGAGCTCTGGTCATGCATCACATACCTCAACAACACATGGGACTTCAGGCAGGGAGCTCTGGTAGTGCATCACGTACCAGAACAACACACACATGACTTCAGGCACGAAGCTCTGGTCGTGCATTACATACCTCAACAACACACAGGACTTCAGGCAGGGAGCTCTGGTCATGAATCACGTACCTCAACAACACACAGGACTTCAGGAAGGGAGCTCTGGTCATGCATCACGTACCTCAACAACACACAGGACTTCAGGCAGGGAGCTCTGGTCGTGCATCACATACCTCAACAACACACAGGACTTCAGGCAGGGAGCTCTGGTCATGCATCATGTACCAGAACAACACACAGGACTTCAGGCAGGGAGCTCTGGTCATGCATCACGTACCTCAACAACACAAAGGACTTCAGGCAGGGAGCTCTGGTCATGCATCACCTACCTAAACAACACACAGGACTTCAGACAGGGAGCTCTGGTAGTGCATCACCTACCTCAACAACACACATGACTTCAGGCAGGGAGCTCTGGTAGTGCATCACCTACCTCAACAACACACATGACTTCAGGCAGGGAGCTCTGGTAGTGCATCACGTACCTAAACAACACACAGGACTTCAGACAGGGAGCTCTGGTAGTGCATCACCTACCTCAACAACACACAGGACTTCAGGCAGGGAGCTCTGGTAGTGCATCACGTACCAGAACAACACACAGGACTTCAGGCAGGGAGCTCTGGTCATGCATCACGTACCTCAACAACACACAGGACTTCAGGCAGGGAGCTCTGGTCATGCATCACCTACCTCAACAACACACAGGACTTCGGGCAGGGAGCTCTGGTAGTGCATCCCGTACGTGAACAACACACATGACTTCAGGCAGGGAGCTCTGGTAGTGCATCACGTACCTGAACAACACACAGGACTTCGGGCAGGGAGCTCCGGTAGTGCATCACGTACCTGAACAACACACAGGACTTCGGGCAGGGAGCTCTGGTAGTGCATCACGTACCTGAACAACACACAGGACTTCGGGCAGGGAGCTCCGGTAGTGCATCACGTACCTGAACAACACACAGGACTTCGGGCAGGGAGCTCTGGTAGTGCATCACGTACCTGAACAACACACAGGACTTCGGGCAGGGAGCTCCGGTAGTGCATCACGTACCTGAACAACACACAGGACTTCAGGCAGGGAGCTTTGGTCATCTGTCACAGGTCCCAACAATACAAAGATGTTGAATGCAGGAGCATCAGACAACATCTGCAGGTCATTGGGAGTGTTCTAAAAGAAACAAGAAATGTCAATGTTATGCCCCTGCCTTCTTAAACATATTCTGAAATATGTTTGCTTATTTCTTTTTAATTAACACTGCACTATGAGCACCATTCCATGAAATCTGGGTATGGCGTCACACAATCAACTTAGCCTGACCACTGATCCCTTTCAAAATAAGCATTGGTTGCTGTGGAAGTAATCTAACCCAGAATCCCCACGAGGATGTATAATGTTTGGTATTCAATGATCATACAAAGTTTCATCAAGAAAGTTTTTGAATGGTTGAGGACTTATACTCTGCAAAACGAAAACCTCTTTTAAATTTAAGCTAAGTACAACAAAGTCCAAACAGACAAAAACATGAAACATGAAACAGACAAAAACACACAAACACATTCTTTGCTGGTTTTCGAAACACACTGTCAGCTCTCACTCATTTCGCTCGTCACAACCACTGGCAGCAATTGAATGTGCATGTCAGTAAAATTAAATGCTCATATTTCATTGATTCAATATTCGAAATCCAGTTATCAAGTGTCCAAAGAATTTAGAATGAAATGACAAATATCCATTAAATTGATCATGAGCTTTTTCCAATATATTTTAACGTAGACTCTAAGGAACTTCACAGAATCATTTTTGTGTCCATGTGAGATGAGACAAAATATTGTAATGATTTATGTGCATTTTGGTAATGAAATGTTCGTGAATTTTTGTCTCTCTGAATAATCACATTGTTCAAATACTGGACACTTGCTGGAATAGGAAAAACTGTATTCTACGTAATAAGCGCCCTGCTCTAATAAGCGCCCATGGCGATTTTTGCTAATATTTTTACAAAGTGAACAATCCAAATAAGTGCACCTTCCGATTGATAAATGTACACAAAACCTATTTATTTGTGTATAATACGCACTCGTGTGTTATACAAAGTCCTGTGGGATATCTGTCCATATCTGCTGGAGCATGTTTCGAAGTTCCTGGAGTGTCTGTCGAACACGTGGTTGATGTCGAAGGCGCCGATCCATCTCATCCCACATGTGCTCGATTGGTGAGAGTTCAGGGGAGAGTGCCGGCCAGGGGATGACATTCACGTTGTTCTGTTGAAGAGAATCCTGAGGCTGGGCGTTGTCATGTTGAAAGGTAATGCCTGGGCCATGATGACTCAAAAATGGTAGAACAACAGGGCCGATGATCTTGTCGCGGTAGCGCTGTCCATTGAGATTTCCTCTACCACAATCAAACGGGGCCTCTGTCTTGCTGTAATCCCACCCCATACCATAACGCTGCCGCCCCCGAACTGATCTTCTTCCAGGACACATTGATTGTCGTCCGAATCCGTCCATCGCTGTGGCTGAGGTGAAAACTCGTCAGTGAATAGAACTTGTCCCCACTGCATAGCCGTCCAGCGTAGACACTGTTTGCACAACTGTAGATGTGCTTGACGGTGGTTTCCTGTCAAAATGGGACGTCGGGCGGGCCTTCTGGCGACAGTCCCTGAACAGGGATGCTTCTTGCAGTCACTGTTGCTGGCTGGAATCGATTTCGCAGGTGTGTTGTTCGAATCCAGTTGTCTTGTCGGTTATTGGTTACGCGTGGCCTGCCACTCCGAGGATGGTCTCTGACTGCATTCGTCTGTTGCCAACGTTGCCATAAACATGTTGTGGACGTTAAATTGTCTTGCAACATCACGTTGACTCGATCCTGCTTCAAGCATACCAATGGCTCACAGAAGCTCATTTTCAGACATTCTTGGCATTTCGTAATGTTGAATAATTGCATAATTTTGTTGTTTTTCTGAGTGGTTGTTGTCAGCACGATGCTAAACAATGCATATGGAATCCCGTTAACACAAGTTTTTATACGCATTCTAGGGGAGTGAAATGCATGGGGCTTGCATAAAAGTCAACTTTTGCATGGAATGCATGCTTTTCTGTAGCAGTTGTGGTTTTGTGACTTGATTCCATACATGTACTACAATATTGAAAACCAGACTTTACTTGTTTGAAAAGTACACTAAAATATTGGTGTCACAGGAACTTTTGTTGTTGAGTATATATGACTCATGATCCGCCATCGGAAGTAGAAAACCAACAAATCTGTATTGAATTACGTAAGTTAACCCTTTTGTTACACTATTTATGTTTTCACTGTATTTCAGGACCTAAGTTTGTAATCTATATTATCAATTTCATTCAAAATATCAATCAATAATGTTAACATTATAATTTTGGCAATAATTTTGTCCTTAGGCTACTTACAACTTCCGTTCAAAAAGGTTTCAAAAATGAGGAAAAAACTCTGATCAGGTGATATGCAGTTTGGCCTGTTGCAGTGCTGTTATGCGAAGTTATGTTACCTCAGAAAACGATGATTAATTAAAAACTAAATATATTACGCAAATATTTTCCTCAGAAAATGTTTATAAATTAATCTCAGGTAGGTAATTTTAGTATTTTCATTTACAAGCTGGATATATCGGTTGTTGAACTGGTGACCTGTCATGACCAGCACTTTAGCCAACACAATGCGTTTTGACAAGTAATATTCAAGCTAATTTTACAAATGAGTAGCTGAAACAAAGACGTGGTAATAAACTTTAAACCCATCATCATTATCACCGAAAAATAAAGGTTAGTAATATTAGGTAATATTTGAAAATCACAAACACAAAGCGAATGTTTATGTTTAATTTTTCAACTTTACCTGCTGTTTACTGGTACTTCCTGTTTAGAACAATGGGCGATGACCATTATTTTTACCCATCGTTAATGTGGAGTTGCATTATCACAAATACGTAGATAAGTTAGTTAGTATGTTCAAACATGCACGTAGTATTATTGAGGAGACATATATGTCTAAAGGTGTAAAATACATACAATACATTTTACATTCTAATAAACACCCCCTATTTCTAATAAACGCCCCCTGAGAGGGGGCTGTTGGGTAGCCTAGTCACTAAAGCATTTGCTTGTCACGCCGACCCGGGTTCGATTCCTGACATGGGTACAATGTGTGAAGCCCATTTCTGGTGTCCCCTGCCGTGATATTGCTGGAATATTGCTAAAAGCGGCGTAAAACCATACTCACTCACTCAATCAATCAAATAAATGAGCTGAGCGTTTTTTAAATTTTGCCTGTACCGGCTCCCAGCTTGGCGAGGGACGACGACGCACATAGGGTTGGGAACCAGCTTACTACTCATGGATATGAAAGAAGCACCGATGGCCCTAGACTCCACCTCAAATGATGAGTCATAAAGGAGAGAGGAAGATGATCTCCATAATTCAGCCACTGCTGTAGAGGCAGATTCAGATAATCCGAGGGCCTGTATTCTTAGTGTGATAGCTTCCTGGTGGTGAGATTTAGGTTGGGAAGGTGTTTTGGGCCAGATCGGGGCGATTAGAATGGTGGTACGGTCTGTTAGTTCTATCTTCTGTATCACCTCGTCTAGATTAGAACATGGAGGAAATGCATACGCGAATAGGTTGGTCCAGTCCATGGACAGAGCCTCAATCTGTAGAGCTGTCGGATCTGGTACCTGTCAGAGAGTGGGATTTCCCCCCTAGCCTAAATTCCCCCCGGAAAAGGGGCTATATAGCCTAATTTCCCCCCGGAAAAAGGGCTATATAGCTAGATTTCCCCCCTTAACACAAGGGGGAAGTATGGCTATATAGCAGAATTTCCCCTATATCCCTCAGATTTTTCAATGCAGTATTAAAAAACATAACCTACTGCACCATTTAACAAACATTGATTAAACAGCAATGGCAAAAGCAAACTTCTTGCATGCCATATTTGACAGAGAAATTGGAGTTAAACGTGTCTTAATTGAAAACAAGCTTTTAGGAATCCTGTAGAACAAGTTTAGTGTTGAAAACATAGACGATTCCGACTTACCACTTGTTATTCATGCCAGAGAACTTATTTATGAACTGTTGCTGGATACTAGTAAATACTTCACGTCAGTGATTTTCTACAATGCAGTGATTAATGGCGTGTTGGAATCATATATCTTCCACTGAAACACGAGTTGAAAAACTTGCGGCGATTAGAAGTGATCTTGTTCATGCATGCTTCTGTCCACAAACAGTAAATGGGTACCAAGGAGTTAATGTGGTAATGGTAATGTGAATGGGTAATCTTCTAGCGCCTGACAGGCAGCTTTGGTTGCATATTTCACATGTAGCTGTGAAGTTCTGGAATGCAAAATATATGGACCTCTGATCGGGGCAAGAAACGCCATGAGCACTCAGATATATGCGCTGTATACGCTGTAAATATACTTTATAATATACTTGGCAGTGAGAGACTGAGGATTATCGATGACAGAAAAGTGATATGTCACTGCAACCATGATAAGGAGAACGACTGCCGTTCAAGTTTACAGTGCAGACCTGATAGAAATCAACTAGCAAAGTGTGTTTCAACTAGCAATGTGACGTATTATGACTGAAGACAGTTGGAAGATTTTAGATTCGCTGATTTACCTCAACAACAAAAAAACACAAAAAACCACTTACCCTACTAAATAAATATATAATAAATAAAACATTTCATTTCGTCAGTGACAAAAGGCTGATCTGACCTGTCGAGAGACAGATCAGCCATATCTCACTGTCAAAATGAACAATCCTCTATTTATTAAAATTAAGAATGTATGGCGCAAAAAAACACAAAATTTTAATCATGGTTTCTCTTGTAAATTACTCCATCAGCCAACTGTACATCTAGGTACTTTTGATAATAGACATATATTTAATTATGGGGGAAATCTGACCCCAAAGCAGAAAATTGGCTAAATAGTGTGGGAAATATGGCCATATAGTGTGCTTTCCGTGGGAAGTATGGCTATATACCCAGTTTTCTGGGGGAAATTTGGCTATATAGCCCCTTTTCTGGGGGAAATTTGGCTATATAGCCCTTTTTCAGGGGGGAAATAAGGCTAGGGGGTAAATTCCACTCTCTGACACCGGACTGACAGAGACTGGGAGCAAACAGATCCA